GGGAAGGGGGGGGGGGGGGGCACAAGGAGAGAGGATCCCATGGGATGGGGAGGTCCCACTTCGCGGGGCTCCCTGTGGAAAAAGGGGGATCCCAAAAAAAAAAGGGGGATCCCACAAAAAGGGTGATCCAAAAAAAAGGGGAGGATCCCAAAAAAAAGGGGTCTCATTTAGAGGATCCCATGGAGGGAGGGGTCATAGGGAGAGAGGATCCCATGGAAAAAGGGGATCCCACAAAAAGGGAGATCCCACAAAAAAGAGATCCCACAAAAAGGGGATCCCACAAAAAGGGGAGTCTCATTTAGAGGATCCCATGGAAAAGGGGGATCCTACAGCGAGGGGCTCCCCATGGAAAGGGGGATCCCATAAAAAGGGGCCTTATGGAAAGGGGGACCCCACAAAACGGGAGATCCCACAAAAAGGGGATCCCACAAAAAGGGGATCCCACAAAAAAAGGGTCTCATTTCTAGAACCCCACGGAAAAGGGAAATCCCACAAAAAGGGGATCCCACACCGAGGGGGTCCCGACCCCATAGAAAGGGGGTCCCACCCTATGGGACAACACAGGAAAAGGGGGGGGTCCCCCCATTCCCCACAATCCCATAATCCCTTTCCCGCCCCGCGGGTGGTAATCAGGGCAAGGAAGGAGCTGGAAAACTCCTGGAAAACGCCTGGAAAACGCCGGGAAAACGCCGGGAAAACGGCCCCGCCATCCCCGGGACAGCGCGGCCGGGAAGGGTACCCCAAACCCCCCCAAAAAAACCCCAAATCCCCCCTAAATCCCTGCCCCAGGGTGGGGGGGGTGGGGGGGAGCTGGGGCTGAAGCCCCGCGAGTTAAAAATACGGGGCCGGCGCATTAATTAGCATCGCTAATTACCATTGAATATGCAAATGCCCGGCGCCGCTGCCGAGCACCTTCTGCTCGCGGCGCATAAATTTGAATGCGCAATTAGCATAATCGTGGCTAATTAATGAGAAGCGTCAATTTTCGCTGCCGGGTAATTTGATTAACGCCGCGAGAGGGGCACTTAGCGCGCTCTCAAACCAGCGGGGCTGGCCCGGGGGGGGACACGGGGACACGGGGGGGGCTCCCGGGGGGGGCTGGGGACACGCCTGGCCCTGCCTGACCCCCCAAAAGTGATGGGGATGGGGACACGGGCGTGGGGGACAGCCCGAAAGTGATGGGGGAGGTTGGGGACACCCCAAAAGTGATGGGGGAGGTTGGGGACACCTCAAAAGTGATGGGGGAGGTTGGGGACACCCCAAAAGTGTTGGGGAGATTGAGGACACCCCAAAAGTGATGGGGGAGGTTGGGGACACCTCAAAAGTGATGGGGGAGGTTGGGGACACC